TTCAGAAGGTCAGCAGTAAAGTCTCTGCACAGGTAGCTGTCTTAAGATGTTTTGCCAGCATGACATGGGGTGCCACCTCCAAAGTGCCCCGAACCACTGCTTGCAAAGGTGCAGGCCCCAAAAAATGTTCTGTTCCTGTATGTAGTTGCTATTACGTTGTAATGGTTCTGTGTGTATACGGCCCTGTTACACGTTGCATGTTATTCAATCAACTGGTTAATTGTGCAATAGAGTTAAACTGGCCATGTGTGCATAGTAAGACCAGCCACATGTGCAAATTGCACAGTTAACTGGTTAATCATGCAATAAATTTAGATCAGCCACATATGTGCAAAGCAATTCTCGCACCATAAAATTGAATATCCAGTTCTAAAAAGAGCCAGTCAGCTATAAAAGGTACTACTTGAAAATGTATAGGAACTCTATGGATGGTTTCTATCCAACTTAAATTTGAATATGTAAAGGAGCCCTAAGGGTGACTGGAATGGTACAAATGTAGCAAATCCACTTCATTTTTAACCCTGGATGAAGAAGTGTTAAAGATGGAGTAAGTGTGCTACATTTATAGCAGGCTTGTGGGCTTGTCACTGTTACAGCATAACAGCTGCAGTGCAGGCTAGAGTGGCAGCTGCCCCTCCCCTTCTGAAACTGTTTCCAATGTATATTTCTCCCTTTCCTAACTAAAAAAGTATTTCCACTTGTATGGCTCTAGTAGGCTGGTCTCTATGTGGGCTGTCTGCTTGTAGGAGATGATATACATGCAGAAATGTTTTAGACTACTTGCCAGGTAGCAATAAAATACTGGGAAAAAGATTCTTGTGTTCAGTTCTTGGTTCTGGCAGAGCACGTGGACTAGTGACCAGAACAGATCAGAGTTAGAATTGCCTGCGGGTATTTGTCAAAGATGCTTTGCATTTATGTAGTGGTTTTTCAAACATGGGACTCAAAGGTAGGTATATGTGTTGCAAATATTGAGGCATTTGTCATGCTAATTTTGTGACGAAAAATGTGGCTATGGGATGAGATTCAGAGTCTTCCATCTTAAAGTTTCACTTCTTCCAAAAGATCTTCTTTAGCTTCTTGGATCCTCAGCTGCTGCATCTTTAAAAGGGGAGAATGCTAACCTGCTTTCTGAGGCCTTCTTCAATAATAAGGGTTATAGCTAAAGGGCATTTTTACCCATGCACCCAACACTGAGCCGGGCACTGTTAATTAGCAAGCTGCTGTAATTAAAAGTGCCCGGCACTGCATTGGGAGCATGTGTATCAGCAGTGCAGCATGCCTCTGCACTGAGAAAATGGCAGCAGTGTGCTTTAAACTAAAGCATATTGAACATGTTTCAGTTCAGAGTGTAGCACCACCATTTTCACAGCATGGAGGCACACTGCACCGCTGACGCATATGGTGTGCGAGGCTGCCAGAGCACATCAATTTATGTGCTCCAGCAGACTCGATTAATTGAGTCTTCTCCGACACGCTGGCTCTTCGCATATGTGTAAGTGTCCAAAAAGACTACTTAACACCAGTCATGGAAAGAGGTGACTCGGAACTCCTGGTGAGTTAACTCCATTGTCTGCTAACTTAGCAGGATAATAAAAACAAGGGATGGTAATTAGTGTTAAAATGCATTATATTCAATTTTATAAAATGGAGGGGGAGCTTGTATTGCTCTATTGACTTGATGTAACAAAGATGGCTAAGTTTAATGTTGTTTTTATTTGTGTTTTCTTTTTCAGTGCTTGCACCTCCTCCACCATTGCCACCTCCAATACAGGGATATGCCTTTAAACCTCCCCCTCGACCGGATTTTGGTACTTCAGGGAGAACAATCAAACTACAGGCCAATTTCTTTGAAATGGACATTCCTAAAATTGACATCTACCATTATGAATTGGATATAAAGCCAGAGAAATGCCCTAGAAGAGTTAACCGGTAATGATATTTTGCTTTGCTTTTCCTCTGTTTTATTTATGTTGTTTTCCCCATTTTTACCTTTAAGAAATTGGTGCCTTGTTCTTACTTTTTATTTAGGGTTTTTTTGACACCTTGGTTTGTTATGATAGGTATTACTTTTGTTACTTTGGTTTCTCCAAGTCTTCCTCTACCAATCCAGAACTCTAACATGATTTTCATGTTATTGGTGCTTTATTTTGAAAGAAGTTTTCAGTCTTTGATCCAAAATTACTGTGAATTTGAACCTTCTTATTTACTGCTTAGTTAAGAACTAAGTGGACTTGGCTAGTAAAAGCACCTTAACTAGGGAGGTGATGTTACCAACAACTTGTTTTCCTGTCTTCACCTACTGACAGGGGGAAGTAAACCCATTTGTCTGTGCTGGTATAAGAGGACTTTGGAGAAACTAAATGTAACAGGTAAGAAATTAACCCTCCTTCATTAGCTTCTATATTCATGGATGATAAATTAAGACTGGTGGCAAGGCAAAAACATTGACAAGGTTCATATCTTACTGATGGTCAAGAAAGGAAGAGACTACATCCTAAATTTTTGCATGCCCCCTTATTGATGCTGTAGAGACTTTTTGTTGTCTTGAAAAACAGCAGGGTTCCCAGCCTGAAACAGCAGAATTTGGCATTAACCCTAGAGACTACAAACATTGGACCACAGAGGGTTGGCATTGAGGATTTATGTATTAAAGAAAGAAAACACAGTTATCAAGAAAGTTGTGTTGGCAGAGTCTGCAGTCATATGCTAACTTGCAGGATCACAAGAAAATTTACAGGAAGTTGCAAACTAGGGCACATTGTCCAGTGCTTATATTAATGAGACAGTATTTAACGCATTTGTGGGTCACATGTAACACCTTGCTGCCCTGTTTTTTTGCTCTGCTGAAATATTGTAACTTTATTAAATAGTTTTAAAAATGGATTTAATGTAAACACAGGGAACCAAATTTTGTCATTAGGGGAACTGTAGTGGTCCATATTCTTTGAACACTTCTGTAATCCTTTTGATGGCAGCAGAATTGCCTCAGTGCTTGAAACAATCTTGTAATGTAGACTTGTTCAGACATAATTGTGGACACTTTAGTTAACTAACACAGTGATGACACCCCATCTGACTGATAGCTGGAGGTCAGGGTAGATTTTATTTGGCAACAGATTACCGATATATTATCCAGCATGATTTTCCCTGATAAGTCAGTTATTTTTCTGCTATGGCAATGGGGGCCAGTATGATGTTCTACATGGTTTAAATGCCATTTATGGAAAATTAAGTTTTCATCTATGCTTTTTTGCATTCCACACTATTTCTTGTTTTTCAACAATGTGCAGAAAGAAAACTAACGGGTTTCAAACCTAGTGAAGTGTAAATTTTAGTTCCTCTTAGGGTGTAGGGGATACATTCATCTCTGCATACATTCTGGTTTCACATACACAGAGTGCTGGAGACTTTGCCAGAAGTTTCCATCTGGTGTGCACATGACCTCATGCCATTGCTGTGCTCTAAACCAAAAGGGTGTAGGGCAGTGTGCGATCTGTTACCATGCTTCTCAGTGCCAAAGGCCTGGGAATGTGTTAGTGTCTGAAGCTCTTTAGTCTTGTTCTAAAGCTATTGTGCCTAAATTCTAGAACTGCATAGCCTTAGTGTCTTTGCACCAAAAAAGCCACAGTCTCTGTCTTCATTGTTCAGGGGAGACTTGCATTCTCCTAAAAGTGAGTATTGTCTTGAGATTCTCCTTATAAAGATTTAAGAAATCTTGTGGAAATTACCTGCAGCATATTCCTTATAACACTGTTAGACCTGAATCTGATCTGCATTCAGGGGACAAGGAAGTTTGGCGTGCTTTTGGAAGGGGAACGTTCCAAAAAGGGCAGCAGCTGGTATATTCTGATTGTTATATGTAGAGTCCTACCTTGATTGAAGAGGCAGGTGGCTGATTTTGCTGGCAGATCGCGCTCCCCCCATATGCTTCTGATTGGGCAAGTGCCCTGAGTAACCCCACCCTTGCTGCTGATTGGTTGAGAGGGCTGTCCATCATGCAACCCCACCCCTCACCGCTGATTGGCAGCCACTGGGGAGCCAGTATTTTATTTTTAGTAAGTTTTTGTTGTTGATTTTGTGTGCATTGCCTAATTTTTGCGAAATCATCGATTGAGTAGGTCCCTAGTTATATCTGAACAAGCTGAGAACAGTTCAGATGCAGTAAACCTGCTCCAGCTTGAGCCCTGGATCAAGGAGCATTAAAGCTAAAGTGGGTTTGCTGTGTTTAAATAATTCTTGGCTCCATTATTTGAACCCATCAGTCTTTCCTGCCCAGAGCAGAGGCGCTGGACCGGATAATCTCACAAGGTCCCTTCCAGCCCTAAACTTCAGTAAACCTGTGCCAGTTTCTGCCCTTTTGAAGCTTTCCTTTTATAAAGCATTCCCAGCATTCATGTGTCCACACCCAAGTCTTCACTGTCTAAAGGACAAACTGCCCAGCATATATAATTGGAGGAAGAAGAATCTTCTATGCAAGGAGTTTCTTTGCTGGCCAGCTTGTTATCTTCAGTCCAGGATGACTTTGAAGTTCTTGAGTAGAGGAATTGCAGCACTACACAATTTCTCAGAGTAGTTTTAGACACTTTTTGAGCCATTAGATACTCATTCTCTCCATGAAAGTCACCTTCCTTACAGGTGTAATGTCTACCGGGACAGTAAGGGAATTAGTGGCTCTTCCATCTGACCTTACTGTAGGTGCAGTACTGTTGGCTTTTCCAGAGGACTATTACCTTAGCATATGATTAGGGGGCCTGAGCTGCCTCTGACTTGTTTGCAAAAAGTCTGACATAATTTTTGTGGACTGGTTTTCAATGAGAACGAAATACTTGCAAGCTCTGTGCACTGTTCTTACTTTACGTTAGTTGACTAGAGCGATCAAATCCCACGGTCCTAATGCCTCATTCATGCAATTAGAAACCTGCCCATCACTGGAGTATTCAGTGAGACCTGAAGGGTGACTTCCTGTACACACTCACTTCTTGTTCTTTCACCATTCCAACAAAAAGGCAAACTCTCAGAGGAGTCATAACTTTGTGTCTTCCCAGTTGCTCATGCTTGGAATGTAAACACATTTCAGCTCTGCCTGAAGGCAACACAAATGAAGCCTCATGTGAAGCATCACACATCCAAGATACAGTACAAGACATTTGAAGAGTCAAAAGACAAGATTCGTACTTGAGTTTGAGTTCACAGTTTCAGTTGATCTGTCAAGGCAGACGGTGTGGAATCTACCGCAGGATAGGAACTGATCTGATGAATTAGTCCAGGAGTGACCAACGTGCAGCTCATGTCCCACAAGTGCTACAGGCAGCCTGTGTATGTGGCATGCAGCAGATCAGGGAGGGTACAGTGAACAGAAAGCAAAGCAGCAGATCAAGCGGGGAACACAGTTAGAGTGGCACTCCAGAAGGGTGTAGGGCTTAATTTGTGGCTTGGCTGCCAGAAAAGTTGCCCTCCCCCACCCCATTAGTTTATATATAATCTTTAAAATCAAAGCACATTTCTCTCAGGTCTTTGAGAAGGCATTTAGCATCTGCAAGTTCCTTTTACTCTGCATCCTTTTACTCTGCAGAGCAGGATTTTTCAAATGACTTTAAAGAGCTTTCCCTTTTGTCAGATTATCTCTTTTTGGATCTCAGTTTGATGATTACATTCCTCATGAAACCTCCATTTAAGGCATTTGGCACATGCTGATTATGTTGCTTGTTTATATCTATAACATTCACCAAGAGCTCAATGTAGGGAAGTTCATAGCTCTTACGTTTGATCTCCCTATACTGTACCTTTTTGTTCCAGTTATGTTAACCCTATGTTTTCAAGCTTAACTTTAGGGAAACCAGCTTTAGTTCATTTAATAAATGACATAAATGGTTAACGCCCCCAAAATATCAGAATAACAAAATAGCATCTTCTGTACCAAGGATAATTTTTTCCAGTATTCACCATGTTGTCTGTAGCCTAAAATTCCATGTAAATATATATTGAAATATGCATTTTTTAGATATATGGAGCCTGGCCACATGTATGAAAAACCTGTCTGAGGGGGACCCCAGAGCCCCAAGTTTCTCCCCACTGCACTGCCCTTTGCCCTAAGGAACAGACTGAGGTTGCCATGATAACGCCTTACCCCAGCAAGCCTCAGCTCCCTTGCTTGCATAGTGGACCTTGCAGCTGCATCAAGGGAACCTCTGGTAGCCTGAGGTGGCCCTCCTGTTGGGATATGGAAGAAATTGCAGGTCCCCCGTTCTGTAGAAGGAGCTAGCCTGGAATATCACCTGCTTAGACATCACTCTTTTTTCATGAGCAGTCACTAAGGAGGCAAAACCACAAAAGGATTTATTATGTAGGAGAAAATAATTATGCAAGCAAAACTTGACTGTAGGTTTCGAGGCAGAAAAACAAAGCAAGTACAGCTGTTCTTCCTCTTTCATCTGGCTACACCTGAGCCCTCCTGAGAATCCTGCCAGTGTTTCTAGAGAGCAGCCTTCCTTCTGATTCTGCTAGCTTGCTTCCTTGTATGCCCACTCATGCTCCCCTCTCTCTCATTTCTCATTGCTTTTAACAAAGGTAAGATGCCTTTGCTATTAAGGAGTTGATTTCCCTATTACAGGCAGACGGTGCCTCGGGCATGTGCTAAATACCTTATTTACCCAAATTTCCAAGATGGGGGGTGGGGGTGGCTTGTCTTTAGAATTAAGTAAATATATAGGACTTCATTTGATTATCTTCCAGTTTAATCATGATATTTCAGATGCATCAGTACTACAATACATAAAGAAATAAAAATGACAGAACTGAACCCAGCTTCACACTAGCTGCAATTACAGAATAAATGCCATGGAGCTCAATCTAATTTGGGAGAACATCCACACATGCCATGTGGTGAACCCCAAAGGCAGTTGGCTTTTGGGGTAAATCTATGACAACAT